AAGTATATATACTGACACCTGTGAACTAAGCAACAGCACTGAAGATGGCAATTTGTAATAGTAGGTTCATGGTTGGAGTGCCTGTCATTCTGGTCTTCTGAATACAGGCTGCTTGTCATGACATGCCAGTTGCTGCCATGCTGTCTCTTGGGTAGATGATTGTTCAAAAAGAAGGGGGTGGTGAATGAAGGCAGGAGACAGGAAATGGAATGTTGTGGGACTATCCTGCTACAAGGTTGTATATGGTTAGATTTCTGGTCTTATGTGTAAACATAAGAATTATATAATTCTTTATGCCTATTTTTAAAATATATTTTAATTTTTTTAATGTTTTTTCATCATATTCTGTAGGGACTTAAAGTTCAACATATCAATACTTGATGAAAAATACCTGTTCCTTATTATGCATAAGATGTTTGATATGCAGACAGATAGTGAGGTTAAGCTTAACAGCCTAGGTTGTATGGTAATAACAATAAGCTTCTCTTCTGGACGGTTAACAACCTAAGTGTGCAGACCAAAATTAGAGAAAAAGGAGAGCTGCAAGAAAAGCTAACATTTTGGCCCTAGCCTTCCAAGGTCAATTAAGACTCAGGACATATGAGAACTTGTACTGTGATGTCATGTAACTCAATAGTGTCCCAAATTTTCTGATCAAGGAGATTATAGGGCCATAGAGGAAAGTGATCGATGATGTAGAGTGTGCCTAAGGAGAGTCACATGGAGAGAAAACATTCTCTCAGCCTTTCACAGAGAGCACATTGCTCAAGCAATGGCCCTGACTCATCCACATGGCTGACATTGACAAAGGATCTACAATCCGAGGTATAGGATCTCAGGATAAATCCTGAGGGGATTTCACTGACCTTATCAAATCCAAAAGCTACAACTCTTATAGCATAGGTCTTGCTTTATCTTGGTCTTAACCATCAAGCAGCAAAGTATAAAAATGAAGTATAAGAATTAAAACCATGGTGTTATGTTGAGCTGTAGGGGACTCAAGTCAACAATTTCTGACATTGCCAGTGAAGCGGATGACCCAATACTATTATGGACTACTGGACTCTTTTAGAATATTAAAACAATATTCTAAACAAAAAAGGAACTAAACAAAAAAGGAGATACAGATGAATGTCCATTTTGTATCTCTGTATTCAAAATGATTATTATAGATAGTTACATTCTCTTAATGAATAGAGGGATTTGTTCTAATAGTGTTTGTAAATAGGATATCATGTCTGGATCTTGTACAGCAAATAAACACTAGGAAGAATGTATGCAATGTGTTAATTATTGAAACTGTCCTACCGATTTGGTTTGAAACTGTCTCATTGCTATTTGTTTCTCAATAAAATTATGGAAAAAAATAAATAAAATAAAACAGACACGTTTTGCAACTAGAAGTGATGAGAAAACGTGTTTGTAATCCAAAGTGATAGAAAAAGTTATAGAGTATCTATTATAAGAGACATGAGCTATACTCTCAATCCAAGAAAAGAAAAATCAGAATGAGCTCAAAACGAAAAGTGAAAGAAAATTAAGCTGCTGTTTCCCTCCCAGCTCAACACAGTAAGACCCTCCAACAGAAGTGGGATGCAGAATACCTCATAAAATTAAGAAGATACAGGTATCAGTACAAACACTCAGTAAATTGCATAAATAATTTATGATCAATAATTTTTTTTTTTTTTTTTTTTTTTTTGCGGAACCGAGGATTGAACTCAGATCCTTGCGTTTGCCAGTCAAGCACTTATCCTACTGTGCCATCTCCCCGGCCCCTATGATCAATAATTTTAAACTATAAGACTTGTCACTTCAAAGTAGAACAAGACTTCTGAAATATATTAGAGAAGCACTTCTCTTTTCATCCCTTTTCCTTTTATTTCCAATTCACTAACAGCAGTTAGTAGATGTTCCCATGAAGGATTCTACCTATTCTTCACAAAAGAATGGAAAAAGGAAGGGGCAGTTGTAGTTTAGATCCAGATTGTCCCCCAAGGTCACAAATGTTCAGTGGCAGTGCTTCTGGCAGGTGTACAGGGTACAGGGGTGCCCCGGCATCAGTGGATTAATCCTCCCAAAAGATTGGTCCCCGGGCTGTGCCCTGGGAGGGTCCAGGTCCTTCCCTGACTCTGCCTTCCCCTTTGCAGCGGTTCTCACCAGATTCCGCCACCGTGGCCTTCCTGCCTTGAAGCCAGCCAGCTAAGACTGAACCTTCCAAAACCTGGGATCCAGAATAAACCTCTCCTTTTCAGCTGCAGGTGTCAGGAGTTCTGACTCAGTGTCAGGAAAGTGAGTGAGACAACAGCTAATGCTGCTGATTAAACAGGGACAAAACACAAGAGGGGAGTCATGTGCCCCAGAAGAATGATGAAGCCTCGGTTGAGCACTACAGGACTTAAGGTGCAAAGCTGCATTTCCTACCCTTAAAGGAGTTTACAGTAAACTGAAAGCAACTACAAAAGAGAACACAGCCTCTGGAAAAGGGGAAGGATGAAAGGAAGACACAGAGACCTGAGCAGAGTCAACCATTGAGTAAAGGACTCTTGTAAAGGCTGCTGTGGAGTCAGAAAATGCAAAGCCATAGCCCTTTGAAGACCCCCATCTCAGTCCACCAGTTATAATGAAATATTCTGCAGATTCTGAAGCATTTTATGTTGGTTTGGGAAGCCCATTCTATTTAAAGATCAATATTTTCTTGGAGAAAAATGAGTTATTCATTACTTTCAGCTATGGAAGCACTATACTGACCTTTGTAATAAAAACTGAATGCTATGATTTTGAATTATAAGTAGACATGAATTTATTCTTGGAAAACACTAAATGCCAAGCTATAGCTACCACCACTGAAATTAAGGGGTGTCCAAACAAATAAGACTCTTCAGTGACAATAATGGCATCCCTATGCCATCCACCTGTACAGAGACTGCAACCCTCAGTGTGTCATCTTCACAGTTTACAGCATGAATTATAAACATTCCAGCTTCCTGCACTAACCACAGCCCAAATTAGTCACAGAAGCTACTGTGTATGGCACAGAGATGATTCAGATTCATTTTTAGTATCAAGGCCTATAGGGTGTTATTTCAAGTTTTCTGTTGCTATCGTAATACAGCTCATAAGATTATTCCTTGTCAGAGTGATAATGATGAAAAGTTAAGTCTCAATTGCAATTCTGACCCACTAAAACTGTTTGAGTAATTGATTAGCATATAAGTCAAAGCAATCAAATTTATTTTCAGTTATGCAATCACAGAACTGATTACTTTTCAAATAAAAACCCAGAGAACTAGATTATGTCCCAGAATAAAAAGTTACAAGTTCTAGTTCACACACATGCGTGTGTGGGCAAAGTGCACATGAAGGCTATCCTACAGCTTCCCTTCTCCAAGCCACAACGCAACAGGATAATCACAAACTGCATCCTCACTGTTTAAATCTATGAGTAATGCCCAGATAATCTACTGTGACATAAAAAAGAGATTGTGATGTGCAGCTCAAGCTAACAATCAGTCATTTATAGTAGATTGATTTTTCAAGGTAATTTTCACAATTTAAGAAATATCTTGTATGGAAGGCAAGAAGAAATAACACTCAAAAAAAAAAATTAGTCTGCTTCCCTCTGTTAAGTTAAAGAAGATAGATTTCTCAATGAATGCTCTTTTATCCTATAACCAACAATCCTTCACAATAAAATGCAGCTGTTCTAAATCAACTCGATGAATAAAGAGGCATCTTTCATTTAACTATGATTCATTTTTACAATTATTGTCTACTTTAAAAAGAATCTACTTCAAACACAACCTTCCCTGGATACAGTAAGAAAACTTTCAAGTAGAAGAAAAAAACTTGAAGCAGACCAAACATTAAAGATGAATTCTCAGGGCCAGCCAAATAGCTTTGTGGATTACTAGGGCCAGGGGTTCAATCCCTGGGCTTGCTGTGCCGGCCCCGCCCCCAGGGCATGCTGAGATAGCAATTGAGACTGGGCGTGGTAGCGCATGCCTGCATCCAGCCAACTCTTTGGACGCTGTAAACAGGCAGATCACTACAAGTCTGATCTAGCAGTGAGACCCTGAACACCCTGCAGACCCTTTCCTAAAAATACAAAAAAAAAAAAAAGATGAATCCTCCCCATTAAGCCACTAAAGTCACCTAAATACAGAAATATCAACTTCCCTTCTTTCCCCTTTTTATCCTGAAGTATAAAAACTAAGCTCCCAGAAACATTTTATTTCGTAAGGGTGAAAGAATGACCCTAAGATGCAGAGAACAACCTTTAAGCACATGTCCAAAGCTAATCCACACAAATGCATGGTGCCCCCTTCAAAGTCATCACCTTAGAAAGTATACACTTATTCTAATGATACCATTATAGGCACTTTGGAAATTGTTTCAGACCTTGGATCTTCCACATCTTTAAAGTTAGCAGGTATTTATCTTCTCAGGCAGCATTTAATAACAGTCAAAACTCCTCAGAGCAGCTGTGCTTTTCTCTGAAAGTTCTTCTTGAACTTTCACTGGACTGTCACTAGATTCAAGTCTAGTGACAAGGTCCCTCCCAAATGTCCCTTAATTTTCCCCCAGAGCAAGGTTCACTCTATGCTGGCTGAATTCCTTATCTATCATCTCTGCCTCTGATGAAGCTGACTTCTTCAGAGCATAGTAGTTATCAATCTTCTTTATTATTACACTCACAGTCCTACCATAGTGCCTAAAAACTATAGGCATCCAAGAAATATTGAACAAAGTAATCTACCACAAAATAAAGTGGTTTGGGACACTGTGTGTATTTCCTCTATTTATCCTAGCCATTTCTTCTAGAAGAGTATCACAGCTCTGTGCTCATGTCTATTTAAAGGGATGATTATTTTATATCACTGGGAGACAGGTTTAGATTTGATCATTTTCATTACTTATATATAGAAAAAGCAAAAATTATGTCTTCACATACTAAACATTACAACTTTCTCAGTACCAAATTTGCAAGCATATCTTACCCAGCTGCAGGATCTTTACAGTGTCTCTGTGTGCCTTCATTACCAGCTTAAAGTGACGATAAAGTGGGTAGCACAAAACTCTTCTTCCAAAGGCCACCAGGATTTCATGAACATTTGTCCAAGTCTGTGAAATGTCATTTCCATAAAACATGTTATACAAACTAAAGTGCACAATGAAACAGGAAACTATTTTCAATTAAAAACAATAAACTCAGATCATCAGGAAGCCAATCAGAACAGAAATATAAAGCCAGAAAATGAGATTCTTTTTGTATACCTCACAATAAAATATTTTAACTCAGTCCTCATAATTTCTCATTATATACAGACCTATCTCAAAAGCTCCTTATATCACATATACAGCAGGAAAGTTTTAGAGTCTTAGGTATTACAAATAATCTAAAGCACATGCCCATTAGCAAAATACAGATGTACATAAAAGATATTTTTTAAACGATGTCTGTTTCAAATGTTTTGTCTTTGAGGGCTATTCAAGATGGAAAAGATCAAGGATATATATAAGACCCATTTAGTAAAGTATTTTGACAGACAAGTCTCTGCCTTCTTTTTTGAAAAACTTTTTATTTGTTTTTTGTTCGGTTTTAGTTTTGAGACAGGATCTCGCTAGGTAGTTTAGGCTGGCCTTGAACTCACTGTGTAGCCCAGGGTGGTCTCAAACTCTCAGCAATAGGGGCCGGCTGGCCAGATAGTTCAGTGGACTAAAGCGCCTGCTCAGGCAGAGTGCAGCAGCTGGGGTTTGATCTCTGGCAGCCGTGCCAGCCCCTCCCCCAGGATGAGCAGAGACTGCAATTAAGATGGGGCATGGTGGCACATCCCAGCTCTCAGAAGGCTCAAAACAGGAGAATCACTACGAGTCCAATCTATGTAGTGAGACCTTGTAGACCCTGTACTAAAATACATTAAAAAAAGCACTCTCAGCAATTCTCTTTCCTCTGCCTTCTGAGTGCTGGGATTAGATGTGTGCTACCATGCCTGATCCCAAAAATTTTTAATATATGCTTTAAGCACGACCTATACATGACTATTACTCTAGTATTCTACTTTGACTTATACAAAATACTGTAACTGATTTCTGAGGAAAAGTATTTTATCTTGAAAGGTATCTAATATCATCAGCAATTTAAAACTTAGTAAAAACACATGTGGGCTCGTGGTGTGAATCAATGGTAGAGTGCTTGCTACCATGTAAAGCCCTGGGTTTGAATGCCAACAACCCTCACCCCCAAAATACACTAGACAGAAAATTGTATGCAATTTAACTAGTTTTTGATAAGCAAAGTATAAAAATGTAAATCATATGTAAAAAAATTAATACTAAAGGAACAAGACAATTTCCACATATTTTAATGAGTATGAGAGATGACTTAGTACACTAAGTTTTGTTTGTTTTTTTTTTTTTTTTGGTATGAGGACTCAATCTGACTACCTAGTGCTTGTCAGGCAGGCACCATGCTGCTGATCTACAGCCAGACCCAGCATTCTAAGTATTTGACAAAGAATATTTTGTATCTAAAGAGATAACTCAGCAATCTAAAGTGCCTGCTTAGGCAAATGTGCAGGGATAGCGGTTCGATCCCTAGCACCACGTGCCACGCCAGCTCCACTCCCAGGGTGGTCTGAGCTGGCCACACACACAAAAAAAAGAATGAGCTTCAAACTACTCTAGCAACAACTTAAATACTTACGGAAATATAATATAGCTATTAAATGTTTGGGAATACTCAATTATCTCAAAATTATAAAGATTTCATAGTAAAATTATAAGCAGCTAAGTTTTCAAGTAGATTTAATAACTGTCCAACAACACAATCTAATCACCAAGTACTTTCAACGAATGAATTGGTACAACTACAACAAAAATTTTATTTTGCCTGCTTTATGCTGATCGTGGCCACATGAGAAGCCCAAGAGATGCCTGGAGAGAAGCCCCCCTCAGTGGTAACACAGATGCACACCTCCTGGAGCTCCCGCTTCTGCCTGTGTACCTTTAGGGCCTGAGCTTCTGTCTTCTTAACAAGCTGCTGCCTATGGCTGCTGCTCCATGGACCACGCTCAGGGAGAAGGCTCTCTCACGAACGGTTTCAGGTCCTATTTACATCCTTCCTCCTCACTGAACAAATGATGCCATGAAATGACCTTGATGTTTTACAACTTAAAATACTGTAATAACTGACATTAAAATTATCAATTATTCTACCTTTAATTAAAGTTTTGATGTACAAATTTGTTCAAAACTAGAAAACTTAAAGATGTCATCCTTTGATATTTTTGTTGAGACCCATACAACTATTTTCTGGAAAACATATAAAAACAATCATTACTATGCATCACCTCTAAACATACCAACTGTTTATTTAAGCTATCTGATTGAAGTTTCCCCATCTGTGGGAAACTCCAAACTTGTTGGGGGGAGCAGGTAAAGTTATGGATACGAAATGCTCAGCACAGGCCCTGGGGGCCCACTCTCAGCTAGACTTGTTTCCCGCCTGAGCTCTGAGCCCCAGGATGTATCAATTTACAAACATACCTCCAAGTCTGTCCCATATTCTCCCCCAAGAAAATGTCTTTTTCTTTTTTTGGTGGTACCAGGGATTACACTCATGACCCTGCACTTGCCAGGCAGGTGCTTAGCCTACTGAGCTATCTCCCCAACCCTGCATTTTTCTTATAAAGTGTATTTCCTTTCTCCAATTACCCAAACAGTTACTTGGCTTATCATAAATTTACTGGAGACAAAAACCAAAAATATGTAATACAGCTTCCACTTAAAAAAAAGAAATCAAAGAATTGCTTGAATTATCCAAAGTGAAGTAATGACAACAGAAAATGGACAGTTTGCACTATGAAAGTCTAAGCAATTGCAACTGGAAATCATACCTCAAACCAGCACAGAGTCGGACTCAGTTTTCGGATAGCCCATGCAGACTCAACCTGTGTTGGGAGGAAAGCATCATCACTGTCCCAGTTACTCTTCTCTTGTTGCTGGGACAAATACCCGACACACAAAATGAAGGAAGGAAAGGTTTATTTAGCTCACAGTTACTGGAGGGTTCAGTCCACACTCAGCTGGCTCCAAGGCAGGGGGGCACATGGCAGAGGGCAACCTTTCATGGTGGAGGCAAAGAGCAAGAGCACAAGGGAGGGGTGGCAGCAGCTCAAGCAGCTAGCTTCTCTTCCCCCCCTTACATTGTAATGCAAACTACCTGCCCCAGGGCAGGTGCAGTATCCACACCCACAGTAATCAGTCACGAACTCCAGAAGCCGCCCTAAGACTGCAGGAGGCTTTGGGGGGACAATTATACACAAACCATAACAATCACCTTCAGAGGAAAAGTCATCTGAAAAGAAGGCACGGCCCCTGCCCAACTAGCACCAAACGAGTGGTGGTACACAGGAGCACTAAGAAGTGGTTATGGCTGTAGGAAAAGAATTGCTTTTACTGATGTACATCCTACCGAAATTCCCATTTACTTGGGATTGACAAAATAAGAGTTTCCTATGATGTGAATACCAGAATGTAAAAGCAACTAGGAACTAACTTTGAAACTGAAGTGAAATGATGCTGTTTTTACCCCTCTCTACTATTACTTACTATTCAAGAACTGCCCAGGGACTTCAATAACTGCTCAACAACTTGGCCTTTCAGAGAACACTTGTGAGACTAAGAACATGCTAGAGAAATTCTCAAAGGTGAAACAGCCTCAAACATGCGAAGTGAAGAAGAAAAAATGGTACATTCTGCCAAGTATAATGCCACCAACTCAGTAATATGCAGATGCACTTTTCTGTTAAAGAAAACAAGTTATCCAACCATACTGTTTTCAAAAGCTGCATGAAAACAGCATTTTCAGGTTACTATTTCCTTGACACCCTCACTAGTACTCAGTTTGGAGCCATAGGCAAAGCTCACGCACTGTCTTATATTTTCAAAATCATGAAGATAAAAGAAGGCCACAAATCAAATCCTAACTCTAATGTTTTGCTAGTGCTAGCATGTTGACTGAAGAAAGCAGATTAAACAACACTGTCATGACCTAGTATAAATACACATACATACACACATGTGCATACTGATAGAAGACTGTAAAGAGATCTATCACATTCTAGCAGCAGCTATTTCTGAATAGTGAAACGACAGGAAACTTTATTTTCTCCATGTGTGTATTTCCCTTTACAATGATATAAATTACAGTACTTCTGTAGTTTAACAATAGGGAAGCATATGCTGAGGTTAAAGCTCTTTGAGCACACAATTATAAACAGCTGCAGGGCCACACTAATAAAAACTTTTTTCCACTCTTCTGGAACATACCATCAGTCATACAGGTGAGAAAGAAGCTAAACTCTTTGTTTGAAAAATCAAATATGGTTTACGAGACACAGTAAAGCCAATATATTCTGTTTAAAAGATCACTTAAAATTTATTTCACAAAAGGATTTAACTTTGTAACTTTTTAAAAGCAAAAGAGTTCTTAAAAATCTGATTTACAGTTTTTTAATAGCACACCTCATGAATTGAGAAGGTAGGTAAATTCTACCTTTTCTCTAGGTACAATGCTGTAATTTGTATGTGATGCTCAGTGGCTTAGAAAAGGAATACAAATGAATATGGCAGTCAACACCCTTGGCAATGTCAGGGGTCACATGACACAACCTTCTATGCCTGTGAGAGGAGGGCTCAGGCAAGCCTGTCCTCAGCTTTCCTTCCTTAAAGAGCCCCACTTTGCTGACTGTAGTGGCAAATGCCAAGTGACAAGAAGAAAAGACCCCATAAGTATTGTGTTTAGACACTGGTTGCCACCACGACCCCTCCACCCCTCCCGCCTCCTCCCTGGGCATCCACAGAGTCATGAATCCCATCAGGCCCTGCTCTGGACAAGAGAGCCGCCCGTCCTGTGGCATCCCTAGCACGGTGGTTCATGGGACACATAGGCACACTTGCACTTACGTTCCTCTCTCCTTCGGTAACCTGGATTTCGTAGCAGTAGGCCAGAAGGATATCAATTAAACTGTAGTATACTTGCTGGTGAGCTCTCTTGTCTAGCAGGTAAGATTTATTGACAAATTTTCGCAGCTGATATTTCTCTTCCTCAGAAAAAGACACTAGAAGAAAATGCATTTAAAATTTAAGTGTCTCACTCAGTATTGTAATACTGCCAAAGCAGCTCTGCCAAAGTTAGAATTCTGCATATAGAAACTAAAAGTTTCTATCTAACTGTATATATAAGCAATATAAAAATTTCACAACTTTAGTAAGGGCAATACTTCTGCTCCAATCCTAGCAGGAATAAAGGAGACATTTCTAAACAATAGTTATTCTTCATTTTAGCATCCCCCCATGCTACACTGCTCTGTGGTTTTTAAATGTCATGGTTACTGACTTTAAAATAAAGATAATAAATACATTCTGACAGCAGGAATCCCAAACAAAGCACTAGGAAAATACTATACACTTTCAAAGTTCTATATACAGGTACTGGGACATTCCCATCTATTAATCAGTATTAAGGGTATAATATTTATTATTCTTTATCTATATAAAGTTTCATATAAATGCACAGATGTGACTAGATCGCACATACTAGACTTATAAGAAAAGAAAGTTCCTTTGCAACATGGTTGAGGCTTTTTCATCACTTACTTCGCATCGCCTTTTCACCTTCATCTTCACCAAGTCTCCCCATATTAAAAATCTAGTACAGATCACGCCAGGGCTTCTCCACACCCAGGCGTGGTCACCACACACACACACCTCTCCCTAGGCACTGGTGCATCCCCGAGGCACACACATGGTCTGGGGCTAATTTTCAGAAAGAAGTAGAACAGGCTGTAATGCACTATACTCTGTCCAACCACTCCCCCTACTGATGGGCATTCGCTTCGCTTCTACTTCTCTGCTACTGCTAATAATGCTACAAAAAATGTCCTTGCTGTATGTCCTTGGATACTGGGAGCTTTATTTCTATAAAAGATTCCCAAGAATAGATTTATTGGCTCAAAAGTTCACCTGGTTTACTTAAAGGCTACACTAACTCTCCTTTGGACAGAAGCCCCCTTATCTAACCATGTCTCCCACCTTGCCTGGTACTAAAGGGGGTAGCTTTCTCTCCCCACTACTTTCCAGCTTTATGGATTTAAAGTGACTGTGGTAAACAAAATTCTAGGACGACCACCAAGGAGTCACATTACCACACAGGATGCACCTGAGTCCTGCTTCTGTCCAAAGCACTATGGACACAGGGATATGCCAGCCCCTGCCATCACTATGAAGCCAGAGCAAGATCCTAACTGACAGTTTTGAATAAATAAGATGCCATGTGGTAAAGTGGCCTGAGAAGGAGGCGTCAAGGCACCTGCAGAGAATGCAAAGCTCTGCTGCTGGCCCCCACTGCCAGCCAGCAACAAAGCAGGGGCCTCAGCTCTGTAACATCAAGGAACAACAGGGTGCCAACAATTATGTGAGTCTGAAGAGGTCATGGGCTGCAGAAAGGAATGCAATTACCAAACACATACTTTTTAAAAAACAACAAAATATTTGGCCACAGCCTTCTAATACCCTAAGCAGAGGATACAGGGCCAGGACGCTGATGCACAACAACTGTGAAATCATGAAGATAGGTTGTATTAATTTTTTATAAATTTTTCTCTCACTGCTAAACTCTGAGCATCATTTCAGTCTCTGTTGGCCTGAATTTGCTTTTCTGAGAATAAGCTATTGGAATATGTTCTGCCATTTTTTCTGTTGGATGACTTTCACATTCTTAAGAACTCTTGGCATATTAGAGATAGAAATTCTAACCACCCCTCTAATTCTATTCTAGGGACACTGACATTGTTTATGCTAAGTTTTGTTACTGAAGTATTTATTTTTTATGTTGATAAGTTTATCCATCTGTTATGGTCTGTGTCTAGTTGTCCCCCAAAAGCCTCACTCAGTCATGGAGCGGACTTCTAGATTTTGAGATTAAATCATGATCCACTGGGATTTTGGGTTTTAGTACTACTGAGATTATGGGTGAGAGTGCTATACCAGCCTGGGGCAGATAGCCTGAATGCAACTTCAGGGAGACACTCTGTAGTCATTGCTGCCACTACTCCTCCCGTTTGCTCTTGCTCTTTGCCACCACCATAAACTGCTGCCCTCTCCCATGTGCCAGTCTGCCTTGGAGCCAGCCGAGTATGGACTGAAACCTTCAGTAACTGTGAGCTAAATAAATCTTTTCTTCCTTCATTTTGAGTGTCAGGTATTTATCCCAGCAACAAGAGAAGAGTAACTAAGAAGCTATCTTTTTAAAAAAAAAACAGATTCTGGACTAAGAGCTTTGGTTAATGTTTCTCTCCCCTGAATTATAAACAAAAGTCTCTTTAAGATTTGTTGTTTCAACTCCTGTTTAAAACCTTCATCCACCTGGAAGTCATTTTTTCACATTTTAAGATTTCATTTATTCTGTCTGCACAGTTAATTGGGCCACCACAATTTGTTCGGTGATCCACTTTTTCTTGCTATATTAATGACCAACTCTTTCAAATAGATCAGTTGCTTTCCCTGCTAAGAATTACTTCAAAGTATTTTGGGGTTTTGTCATCATGGTAAACACGGTACTTTGTACATTTCTTTTGCTCAGAAGTTTTCTTTTTAGAACTTCTTTTTTTAACAATATTTTTTTTAATTTTTATGTTTGTTTTATTTTATTTTTATTTTTTAAAGCAGGGATTATTGTTCTTACTTTTTTTTTTTCCGGAACCAAAGATTGAACTCAGGTCCTTGCGCTTGCCAGGGAAGCACTTATTCTACTGAGCCGTCTCCCCGGCCCTTAGAACTTCTTGATAAAACAGAAAAAGATTTATTTCTTTACTTAGTGATATTGAGAACTGAACCCAAGGCGTCATGCGTACTAGGCAAGCTTTCCACTATATCCCCAGCTATATCTCCAGCTCTTGTTTTATTTTTGAGACTGGGTCTAAGTTGCCCAGGCTGGCCTTGTACTTGGGACACTGAAGAGATAGGAACACAGGTGTGCATCACAAATTCCTGGTTATTTATTTTTATGTATCAGCCATTTTACCAAATACTGGCTACTTGGTACAAAACAGTAAGTTGAAATACTCATAAGTGCTATACTTATTAAGTGCAAACTTACTATAAATAAGCTTTTTACATAAAGGCAAGTGTAAGCCTACAGTTCCTAAGTTTGTCTTGATTTCTAAAATGTAGGCAAACTATCATCAATTAGCCTCTTACATCAAGTCTTCCTATAGTTAGAGACAAAATTTCACATAACAGCAGGGCGTGGTAGCAAGGCCTGTAATCCCAGCACTTGGGAGGCTGAGGCTGGAGGACCAATCTGAGTTTGAAGGTAGTCTGGGCTAGCAAGTTCAAGGCTAGCCTGCACTATGCAGCAAGACCTTGTGCCAAAAAAAAAGAAAGAAAGAAAAAATTACATAACATGATATTCTATTCAACTGTGTATCTTCTCACGCTGACCATTACTAGATCTTCATAATCTCGGTATCCATAAACATAGAGCAAGATTTGCTCTAAATGACAGCTAAAAACATGAATAGCTCAGTTCCTAGCTATTACAAGTAAAACGCTGTCCAGCATTTATCTCTGGGCAATTTTTAAAGGAACCTAAGCATCTACTCATACAGATAAGGCTAAAGAGTAGTGTTGTCAGTCTCTCATCTTGCAAAGTAATTTGCAATTTTCCTTCCAACCCTATCAGAGGAACACTTCAAATTTCTTTAAAAAGTTTTTCAACTCATTTGAAGAAGTAAGTGCATCCTGTTTCCATTTCTAGTGTTTCATGTCGAAATAGCTTCTAAAACTTTTCCTCCAGGTTTTAGAATCATTCATTATACTCAGATAAATATAGGCTAACTTGCTAGAACAGAGACCCATGCTTCCCTAACACCCAATAGGCAGTGGCTTAAATTGAGACAGAAGTTAGTCTCTCTCATGCTGCTCTCCTAACGGTTCAGATCTGGGTGGCATCAGCTTTCCCATCCTATGACTTCTATCTATGGGTTCAAGATAGGTTTTTGGAGTTTTTATCATTTTCTAAGTCAACAACATCAAGAGATGGATGGCAAGCTCCTAGTTCTCTGGAATTTATTCCAGGAAATGCACACATCACTTCCCATCAGCCAGAACTCCGATACAAGAATGCTGCCAGTTGCAAGGAGGGACAGGAATTGCATTCAGTGATTGGTCAGTCACTCAGCTGTAACTCTTACTAAAAGGAAGGAAGACCACGCAAAAACACATGGCTCCCTCTGCCACCTCTGTGGAGGTGAAAAATTGTTAAAATGCCCTTTCAACATGCCCAAGCCAGTCTCTGGGTAGAAGGCTAGCTACCTAGTCTTTTTCTGGTTCTACTCAACAAGACTTTCTTTCTGCTCATCACAATCTGGCACTTGGTCCAGATAAGTGTCCCTCAAAACCCCACCTAATAAAAGCTTGGTCTCTATTCCCTAGCACTATTAGGAGTATGTGGAACCTTTAAAAGCTAGGACTTAATGGGAGGTCGTCATTGGAGGTGAGCCCTTGAAGAGGATTGTGGGAATCCAGCCTCCTCCTCTCAGTCTTTCACATACTGTCTATGGTGGAATGGATGGTTTCTCCATTATGCACCTCTGTTATAGCTTGCTGCTGCCTCAACACAGACTCAAAGGCAACAAGGTCAATGGATCATGGGCTAAAATCTTTAAGACCATGAGGAAAAAATACACCTTTCCTCTTTTTATGATTGTGTTGGGTATTTTGTTATAGGAATGGAAAGCTAACTAATAGAGCCCTATTCAAATTCTCTAAACTTCTGTTCTTAACCCCTAAGCCTAACTTTTTTTTTTTAATAATGGCTTCCAGTTTCACTGGTTTTTTTAGCCTGTCCTTGGTGGGAATGTAAGGCTCTGAAATATATTTATTTTAAATTGCTACAAGCAATATTTTACTCATTAAACTAATGCCAAAAACCCTCAAACAAACAGGGGTGTATGTGTTTCATTTTGCTTTGTTTTGGTAGTGCTGGGGACTGAAGCTAGGCCTTCGTGCAGGCTAGGAATGTGCTTTACCACTTAGCTGAATGCACAGTCCGAGGCTT